CTCCTCCTCCTCCTCCTCCTCCTCCTCCTCCTCCTCCTCCTCGGATCGCCCACGGCCCCTGGGGAAACCGTGCAGGGGGGCCTGGACCTGGTGGCCGAGGCGCCCTCGGGGGACGGCAGGACTCAGTCGGGCCTGTCCTCCCTGACTCCGGATCCGCCCTACTTTGGGGAAATTCGTAGGTGGGGCTTGGAATTTCCGCCTTATTTTTCAAGCCCCGCTGATGCCAAGTTCCGCCCTACTTCTCTGTTGCTGTTTCTGTGGATTTCCGCCCTATTTTATGTTGGGTGCAGCAATTTCCGCCCTACTTGTTCGGCTCCTTATAGGTGGATTTCCAACGCAATTTTAAGTTGGAAACAAAGCCAAAGTAGGGCGGATCCGGAGTCAGGGCTCCCACAGGGGGATCTTGGACGAAACTTACAAATAATCAAAAAAAATGCCCCCAAATGGTTCAAGAATACTACACAAATGGGTCCCCCGACGATTCTTGGACTGTTTCTGGGCATCCCTCCAGTAGAAGGACAGGCCTGAATTGACGGTAGGAGGACGCCGACGCCGCGGGCGCATCGCACCCGTGACCTGCGCAAGACCTTTCGGAGGTCCGCGCGGATGTCTTGGATCGGCGCCGGACCCCTCCCTGGCGCACGGTGCGCCTCCAGGGGCGGCGCCGCCAAGGGGGGGGCCAACGCCGACCCAAGAAATCCGCGCAGAATTCCGAACATTGATGCTTATTATGCCGTCTTTCCGCCTTCGGAATCAATCAAATTGGGGGCGGTGAATGGGGCGGAAGTGGGGAATCGGGAAATTGGGGGCGGGCTGGGATCAGGAAGTGGAAGGCAAGAACTCACCATCGCTCTGACGTCCATTCCTCGTGTTATTTTTTTGGCTTTGTGCGCCTATTTTCTCGCAAGATGATGCAAGGTGCCCTTCGATTGTCCCCGCCGAAGAAAACTGCACACGTCCGAGCGATGCCAAGGAAAACGAAGGGCGGTGGAGGAACAGGAAATGGGGGGCGGGGGGGGGAGGGGGACGAAACTCTAGGTGCAGCCCCAAATTCACATCCTGCGCCTCGCCCTAAACCCTGCTCCGCCTCCAGATCCCCATTTCGCTCCTCCTCCCCTTTCCTCCTCCCTCCTCCTCCTCATCATCCTCGCCTCCTCCTCCTCCTCCTCCTCCTCCTCCTCCTCCTCTTCCTCCTCCTCCTCCTCCTCCCCCTCCTCCTCCTCCTCCTCCTCCTCCTCCTCTCCTCCTCCTCCTCCCTATACCTCCTCCTCCTCATGTTCCTCGTCCTCCTCCTCCTCCTCCTCCTCCTCCTCTTCCTCCTCCTCCCTACCCCATTCTTACTCCTCGTCCACCCTCCTCTGCACCCCTCCCCCACCTCCCAACCCTCCTTGACTCGAACCCCCCGGGCTGTCCCGAAGAAATGCAGAACGCCATGCAGCCCGGAAACCGGCGCGGACAGCTAAGGAGTTACGATGTCCGGGCACCATCCTGCTCGGGCACTCCTCCTGGTATCCTCCCTCCTCCTGCTCCTCCTGCTGCTCCTCCTCCGCGGAGTGGTGGCACGGCCCTGGCCAAAATCCCTCGCAGGGGCCTCCCTCTGTCGAGACAAAGGTGCTCTCGGTCGGCACGGAAAACACGCAAACCTTCCATCTCGTCCATGCTTGGCGGGGAAGGATGGGAGAATGAGGGGGAGGAGGGGGAACATAAAAATAATAATGCGGCATAGAGGCGCGCCGTGTCTCTGGTTTCCCACAGGTCCGAGGCGGGGCAGGCCGCAGCAGGCCTTTGCCAAAAACGTAAAATGTAAGCACTCTCAGAGTGCAACTGAACATGGACAGCGGGAAACAGCATCATTCTTGCACGGCTGCCAGCCGAAGCTGGGTTTAAACCAGGAACAAGCGAGAGGGCCTAGACAGGCCCCAACAGGCTTAACGCAAACCCTGGGGAACCGTCGCACCGACAAGTCTGGGTACGACGCGCTACGCGGACAAAACTACCAACAGACTGTATCTGGCAGGCGGCACAGCAGCAACGCGGCAGCGGTGGCAGCGCCTCAGGCCTGGGACGGGACCAGGCACACATACAAGTAGAACACGGATCGGGAGACGAAGAGCAAGGATTACGCCGTCGGCACATCGACCAGCTGGGCGGCGAGGGCGTCGACATACTCGGAGGAGGTAGCACGCGTAGCTGCATATCCCAAGACAGGCAAATAGTACGCAGCACCTCCGTCAGAAAAAATAGTGTATGAACTCCAGTGAACCATGAAGCGCACAAGCCACGCAGTAGAGAGCCATGCCGTAGGCATTCAATCCAGGTCGATATGTAAACCCAACATCATTAAATTCAAATCGACCGAAGAGAATCGCAATCAAACTAAAACAATGCAGGTCGTCGACATACTTCGACAAGGATGCATCGGCTGGGACAGGCACCAGTGGGCACTTGACCAGTGATTGAGGCTGTGGGGACCGATGGCGGTACGCATTGATGATCTTCTGAAAATCCAAGCGAAATTCGTCAGGCGTCAAGGCCTCACCCTTCAGCGCCCCAGTAGTAAGTAATAACTGTATGTCGCCGTCAATAGCCTCGATGTGGAGCTCATGCGTGCGTCGACGATGCTGCAGTAACTTAGCGTCAGCATATGGTAGACATTCATGAGGCACTTCATCCAATCGTGCGTGCGAGTAGCAGCCGTCTGCATTGGTCGTGTCGCATAATACGGCAGTATGATACTTACGTTCTCGTCGAAGACGCCACGCAGTAACATGGACGGTCAGGATCGCATTTTCACGTCGTCGAACACAACCTTGACCAGCACTTGATGGGAGCGAAAAAGGGGCACCTTTGTATATACCTCTGCAACCAGTACGAAACCGCGGGCGAAGTCCATGAAGGTAACGTGTTCCCCCGCCAGTCTTAAGGGTTTGCCATACATAAGGAGAGCCTGCACACGCGAAGAGTCGTCCAGTGAGTCTCCACGGTGTTACCAGCGAAGAAAATAAAAGGCTAGCCGTCGTATCAGAAAGGAAAGGTTTGGCACCCAAACCAGCCGTAGCTATGTTCTTTTTGCCAACGTAGCTGGGTACCAACAACACGACGGGATGCCCTTTTTGCACAACCATAGCCCGCTCAAGAACACGGGCTCCTTTTTCCTGGCAATTGTCTCGATCAGTGAGCCTCATGAGCTGCATAGCACCACGTCGAGCCACCAAATCAGTAGGATAGATTGCAATAGCCCCAAGGCCACCACGCGCACAAAAAAAACAGCATATCCTTAGGCTCCTGCACGCATGGGGCTTTTTTTTTCCCACAGCATTGTACATGCGCCGCTTGGGGCCAGAACCAGTGCCCGCCAACCGTCTAAGTCGATATTGTATGGTGGCCAATTGCCCTTTTTTCTACGCCTCCGCCAACTCCTCGATCCAAGCAGGATGTAATTGGCGCCGCCATTTTCGCACACGCCCTTTGAATCGAGCGGAGAGGCTCCGAATTTGTCTGTCATGGCGCTGGTGCGGGAGGCCCTGCTGTCGAAGGCCACCGCGTAGATTAATGAGCTGTCGTACGTCTCTCCGTAGTTGCTTCGTGTGTACACCAAGTGATGTTTGTGACCTGGTATAGCATTTCTCAGCAATGGGACGTAACACTTTACATATCTTTCGGTATCCATACTCAATCGTCGAGGCCTTCAAATAGACAACAACGGTGGCCTCGGCGCGTCGCAACTGATGTGCAGCCTCGGCAAGGAAATCTTCACGAAATTCTGGTATCTGTACGACGAGGGTCGGGAGGTCGTTGTTCCAACAAACATCCCGCCAAGGCGATACCAATGGTAGCGACAGCACCACTTGCAATAACATCGGGACGTGGTTAAACAGGTAGCCGCTGCAAGGATATAATTGCAGTTGCCGAATAAGTCCCGTCATGGTCAAGCACTTCGTCATGCAACGGCGCAACCGAGCGGGAAGAGCACAATGGTCGGTCCACGACATGGTGCTCATGAGTCCATAATATGAAGGCACCGTCCGCACGAACGTGTCAGGGCAGCGCATGTGGTGTCTCTGGAGTACTTCACGAAACGCACGCCCAGAATAATCCATTCTGTAATGTGTAACTGGTCCGATGGCGGAATACTCAGACGCATTATCAGCACCAAAAGGATCGTTGAGATCCGTATCCAATAGTGGGGTGGACCAATATGGCAACGAAGAAAGTTCAACAAACAACCAAGCCAGTCGCATATCCACAGTCTTCCTCCAAGCACCGCACGCCCTGCCAACAGCAGGGGGGAGAATATAGAGAGCAAGCGTCGTGTCATCGACACCAGAATTACAAATGCCAGCCATCCCTCCCCGCCCAGCAGCAGCCGCAGGTGGAGCTGATGTTTAACAGGCTTTACCACGAAGAACGTGCCGTTTGTGTATACCAAAAGATACTGTAGCGCAACGATTAGTGAAGGGTCCTCTGGTCCATCCTAAAACAATGAAAAGATGCGTGCCCTGGGTCTGAGACCAAACCGTAGAAGTAGAAGTCGCCCGCATACGTGCCCCCGTCAATGTAGTGAATGATGCGCTCCTCATCAACGCCGAAGTTGCCAATCGTCGTGTTTGTATCGGCGAGCACGGATTGTAACCAATGAAAGTGCTGTGCATAGCCGCATAGGCGAGCCACCGCGAGACCATGGCGGTGCACAGCCCTCTCGCTCCCATCAGAACTGCAGTGGGATGTACATTCTCAGAGAGTGTGTGGGGTGGGCCCTTTAGTAAATCTCCAGATTCTGAAATGGGCTGGAGGGGGAAGATGCGGAGGAGGAGGAGGAGGAGGAGGAGGAGGAGGAGGAGGAGGGGCACGAGGAGAAGGAGGGAGGGAGAGAGGGAGGGAGGATGAAGAGACAACTACCATGCTCCCGTGAAAACTTGCATAAAGAGAAACGTTTCACAGGAGTTTTGACGTTCAGGGGAGCGCGCAAATACACATAGTTGTTATTTTATACCTTAAAAATGGGACTGGGAGAAAGAGGGTGAGAGAAGGAGAAAGGAAAATCCGCCGACCCCTCGGGGATCATCAGCGTGTGAGATGATTCCCCCTCCCCAAACCCCTCCCCCCGGAGCCTGGTCCGGTCGATTTGGAGGGGGGGGGGGGGGGGCCGTCCGGCCAAAACTCACCAGGGGGGTCCAGCCCTTCCCCGGCTCCTTATGGAGGTCCACGACAGCTTCTGGGGCTGCCCAAGAGGCCCCCAAGACGGTCCAAGAGGGCCCCGAGACGCCGAAATATCGTTCCAAGACGCCTAACTTGAGCCGAAAGATCGTTCCAAGACACCTAACATGGGCCGAAGACAGCCCAAGAGGCCGCCAAGACGTTCCAAGAGGCCTCCCAGGAGGCCTCCAAGATGCCAGAATCGTCAAATTCCCTTGCGGCAACGTACATTTCTAGCACATACGATGTTTCCGCCTTCACAGCGCGGAAGCCCTTCCAAGATGCCTCCAAGGCCGCCCTAGGACGGCCCCACAGGCTTCCAAGAAGCCCCCAACACGGCACAAGAGGCGCCCAAAACGACCCAAAAGGGCTCCAAGACAGCCCCAAGAGGGGCCCGAAAGGGGGACCATGAAGCGAACATTCCAGCCGTCCGCCCCTAGAGGCCCCCAGGAGGCCATAAGAGGCTCCAAAAAGGCGTCCAGACGCCCCCCAAAGGCACCCAAGAGACCCCAAGAGGCGGCCTCCAAGAGGCCCCAAGGGGCCCCAAGAGGCCCCCCAATCGGCTTCGATATACGATGGTTCGGCCTTCACAGCGTGGAAGACCCTCCGAGATGTCTCCAAGACCGCTCTAAGACGGCCCCATAGGCTCCCAAAACCGGAACGGACACTTCGAACCTTCGGCTCCAAGACGCCCCCATTGTGCCCTGTGCCCCAGGGACCCCCAGGAAGCCCCCAAGAAAAACAAAGGGGTCAGCGGTGTGGCGTAAGCCTAATAATCATAAACAAGAGTGCCGCATCACCCGCACCGTCCTCCTTTGGGAATGAGCCTTGTCCAAGGCAGGGAGATTGGAGGACGACGACGACGACGACGACGACGACGACGACGACGACGACTACGATACGTAGATGAGGGAATGGATGAGGAGGGGGAGGTCGAGGAGGACGATGGCGACCCAGACGCGACGTGCAACAACAAGACGGACAATTTCACTGCGTGCTTGGCTTGTGGAAAGATGCAAGTTGTTTTTAAACAAAAACAATCGGGGGAACGCTCTATACTTGTGGGGGCCAAACTTGTGAAATAGTTACAAAAAGATCGGAGGTGCGGGAAGAGACGGGGGAGAGACTGCTGGCCCCCCCCCCGACGTGGACCTCACACAGGACTGGACGCTCTCCCCAGGACCGATTTTCAGTCCCGAGTGTTTTTTTTTGCTGGGCCCCGGGGCACAGCAAGGGCCACCCGGTGGTGCCGAAACGAAACAGCACAGAGCCCGTCGTGCGACGAGGCCTGGGCTCCTCCCGGCCCAGGAGGTGCCCCTCCGGGATAGGGTTAAGTCGGGCGTGTCCCCCTACAGGGGGATTTGGACTAAAAATAAGAAATACTCGAACAATACTCCAAAATGGTCAAACCATATCTTAAACATAGTCCCCTGACTATTGTTATACTATTTTTGAATATTCCTCCTGTAGAGGGACGGGCCCGACTTAAGGATAGGGCCTTCTGCAGGTCGAGGAGCTGGTCCTGGAACTTGTGGCGCAGCTTCTCCAGCATCGCCACCACTCCGCCTTGCGAGGGGGGGGGGGAGGGCACAGCGAGGCGGCCGAGGAAGGGGGGGGGGGGGAGGGAAGGCAGAGGGAGAGGCGAAGACTGGACTGGACACGACTGCGGCGCAGGCCGAAGCCGCACAGAAGACGGGAGGGGAGGCTGAGGCCGGCCAGCGAGCAGTCGGGGCGCGCTCCTCCAGGACCAGATGCTTGCCCTCAGAGCGCCAAGGGCGCCTGCCAGAGGGAGGGGCGAGGAACCAGGGCAGGAGGAGGAGCAGGGAAACAAAAAAAGACATAAAAATAAAAACTCGGAGGTCCGCCCGGATTTCTCGGATCGGCGCTGGGGCCCCCCGGCGGCGCCTCCGGCGTCGCGGAGGAGGGGGAGAAGGAGAAGGAGGACGAGGAGGAGGAGGAGGAGGAGGATCGAGGGCGGGATGGATTACGGAGGAGGACCGAGGAGGAGGACGAGGAGGGTAGAGCGGGAGCAGCACGATAAGCGGGAGAAGGAGCAGGAGGGGCAGCAAGAGGAACGGGAAGATCAGAACGAGGATGGGATGGGCGCAAGATGGGCCTGGCCAAAAACAACAAACATGCTCACACTAGATCGCTCGATTTAGTTCCGCAACTTCCGCTATCCTCCACTCTCATTATCCGCCACATTCACCTCCGCCACCTTCACCTCTCTTCAGCTCAGGGGGACTGCAGGGAGGTGTTCCATCCCAAGCTGCGGACCACCACATTGAACTCAACCACGACTTGCCCCCAAAAGGACAAATACCAACCTGCTTCGATGCGCACACTTACCTTGCTCGAGCGCGATCAAAATCTGAACTGCCCGAATAGCACATTATTCCCTGACTCCACAAACCTAGACGCAGATACGATTGGTCGGCAAACACGTGCAACAACATGTCAACATCAAACCGTGCGGTCGTGCGGTCGTGTAAGAACCGGCATTATAAGATCCTCGACGTCTCCTGCGCGTGATTGCATCTCCGTAACTTCTAATCCACCTTCTCTCTCCTATGAATACGCTGTTTGGAGGGGCTCCAGCAAAAGGTACAACTGCAAAGGGATGAAACGCAGGCGGAGGAACAGACATATCGACATAAGGTAAACATGAAGAACACAACTAAAAACATGCCGCCGTTTCCGCATGTTGCATGGATTCCCGGATCATCGACGTTCCCATGAAACCACTCGGCTGCGCAGAAATTCACGCACCGAGCTTGCACAGTGACGGGACAACTTAGGATCAGCGGTGCAATTGCCGCGTGTTTCATGAATTCGGGGATCATCGGCAACCCTGTGAAACCACACGGCTACGCGGAACTTCACGGAGCTAGCCTGCAAACCAACACGACAGTTTAGGATCCAACAAGCCCTTTAGGGCGTAGGTGTTTTAGCCCAGTTCCTCTTCCAACTCTCCTATTCCCCTTCGGGGACAGGTGTCTCGCTCTCCCTACCCCGTCCCTCTGGATCTGGACGGGTCGCCCCGCGACCATTGGAGCTTCCAAGATGGCCTCAGCGAGAATACACAACAACACATTGTGTACCCCTAGGTTTGGGCTCACATTCGCCTCCTGGGAGGGCAATTCGGAGGGCCCCCATTCTTTGATCGATCGCTTCCAAGATGGTCCCAAGACGGCCCGAAAGCTCCCAAGAGAGCCCCGAGAGAACCCCAAGAGGCCCCCAAGAGGCCTCCAAGCAACCCTAAGAGGGAGGCCCCCAAGGGGCCCCACGAGATCCCCAAGAGGCCCCACGAGATCCCGAAGAGGCCCCAAGAGGCCCCAGGAGGTCACCAAGAGCCGCCAAATGGCTCCCAAGACGCCCCAAGATGCCCCCAAGGACATCCCACGGGACTCCGAGAAGCACCCAACAGGCCTCTGTCCCACAGAGGCTCTCACAGCTCTCCAAATGATGCCACGCTCTCCCGAGAAAGGCACCCCCCCTGGACAACGTTCCTGAATGGGCTGGTGGGAAAACGCGAAACGCTCAGAAATTAGAAGTACAATGTCAATGAACTGAGCTGTTGCATCTTCTGAGAAATCGTGTCGCTATCCGCGTCAAATCCGCCCTGCTATTCGCGGCAAACCGCATTGGACCCACGACGGATCTGCGAATCCACCACGCATCCACCCCGAGACCGCGTCGACGTCCGTCGAACTCGCGGCGGGTGCAAGATAAGACCGCAGGTCATTCGACGCGCAGGGTCCCTCGAAGGTGCAGTGTAACGCAAATGAGTGGGGGGAGCAAGAACCGTTCACCACGCTCGCTGGAGCCCCTGAATCTGGGGGACCAGCAAGATACCGATACCCGCTGCTCACGAAGCATCTCCAGGGATGCGTTCTGGCCGTAATCTCGAGGGGGAAGCCAGCCGTCGCGGCGATGACTCCCCAGGACGAGCAGCGGCATCGGTCCTGCTTCCTCCCCTGAGAGGTGGTCATAGCATTAGGTCGGGCATGCCCCCCTACAGGCGGATCTTGGGCGAAAAGTAAACATAATCGACGCACACTCAAAAACAGTCAAACAAAAGTCGTCCCCAGACTATTTTGGGGGGACTGTTCTTGAAGAATCTTCCTGTAGAGGGACAGGCCCGACTTGAGCACAGGACGCTGCAGCCAAGAGGAGCTTTTCTGGTCGAAGGCTGGCGCTGGCACGCTCACAAGCCGACACGTGGCTTCCAGACCTGCCGGCGGGGAGGCAGCGGGCGCGGCTTGCAGCGGCGCCCCGCCGCCTGGCCACGACGACAACGACGACGGCGATCGCGGCGACGGCTACGAAGCCCGACCCCGACCACCAAGACGCCGACGCCGACGCCGACGCTGACGGCGGCCACGGCCGCGACGGCGGCGGCAGGGCCGCCGCAGTGCATCTTGCCTCTCGCTGCTCTGGCTGTTTTTGACATCTATCTCGACCCTTCAAGAACATGCATGCTTTGCGAAGAATTCGGCTTCCAAAAACACGCAGTTCTCCCAGGCAGCCTTTTGGAAGTCAAATTGGTTGTCCAAAACACGTAGTTCACTCAGTCGGATGAGAACGAGTGTTCGTCAAGGAGGGGTTCTCAGGCGCCTGCCAGCGCCGGAGGCGCCAAAGTATTCGGGAAAGCGCCCAGAGGCGGAGCCGAAACCAGCTGCATGCAGCAATTTTCGCGCCCCCCCCCTGTCCAATCCACCTCTTTCGCCCGACCCGACATTCGGGAGGAAGTCTGGCACAGGGAAGAGGAGGGCGGAGTGTGACGGGTTGTGATGTGCGGGGGGAGGACGGGGAAGCGAGAAAGGAGGAGAGAGAATGCTGAGAGCCAATGGGACGAAGGAGGATATCGCAAGGGGAAGGGTCCGACCCGGTCGCGGTCAGGCGCCTTCTGATGAAGGAATCACCCCCTACCCCTCCCGACAGGGTGGAGCCATCGGCCTCGCGGGTGTTGATATTCGAAGCCTTTCAGAGAACTGCACACGCGTCGCGCTGGCCCCAGCCTACGAAAAATGACGAGCGGTGCGCCACCAAATCAGGTGGTGGCCGCGACGAACGTCGGGATGAGCCTGGATGCCTTGCCCACAACCGGCGTACCGCGGACGAACGACGGGCGAACCTTGCGTGACTCTTGAAACCGATTAGACTCTCCTGATGACAATCAACGAGAGAAGGCCGAACAACTGGCATCTGAGAACGACAATCATAGTCGTGAGACACCTGCGCACTCTAGTGACAAGCACGCGTCACGATTCCTCACGGCAACGCGTTGTCACGCCAGCCAGGCCCTAGAAGACAGTGCGAACAGAGGAGGAGAATGAGAAGTAGGAGGGGGAGGAGGAGGAGGGAGAGAGAGAGAGAGAGAGAGAGAGAGAGAGAGAGAAAAAAAAAAAAAAAAAAAAAAAAAAAAAAAAAAAAAACGAGAGGAGCAGGAGGAGAAGGAGGAGGAGGAGGACGAGGACAGAGAACGAGGATCAGGAGGAGGAGGACGAGGAGGGGGAGAAGGAGGAGGAGGGGGGAGGAGGAGAAGGAGGAGAAGGAGGAGGAGGAGGAGGAGGAAGAGGAGTGGAGAGGAGGAGGAGGAGGAAGAAGAGAGGTGGAGAGGAGGAGGAGGAGGAGGAAGAGGAGTAGGAGGACGAGGAGGAGGAGGAGGGGAGGAGGAGGAGGAGGAGCAAGAAGAGGAGAGAGGCGAAGGAAACGGAGGAGGAGGAGACGGAGGAGGAGGAGAGGAGGAGGAGGAGGAGGAGGACGAGGGCAGAGGAGAAGGAGGAGGACGACGACGAGTAGAAGGAGGAGAGAAGGAGAAGAAGGACGAGGAGGAGGAGGAGGAGGAGGAGGAGGAACAGAGAGGAGAAGGAGGAGGAGGACGAGGAGGACGAGGAGGAGAAGGATGAGCAGAGAGGAGGAGGAGGAGGACGAGGAGGAGGAGGAGGAGGAGGAGGAGGAGCAGAGACGAGGGGAGAGGAGGACGAGGAGAGAGGAGGACGAGGAGGAGGAGGGGGAGGAGGGCAATACAAAGAAAGGAGGAGGAGAAGAGCAGAGAAGACGGAGGATGAGGAGGCGGAGGAGCGGGAGGAAGAAACAAAGGCAGCGCGGGCCTGCGGCCGTAGCGGATGGTGACCGACAGGCGGTCCTCCCGCGCGTGGAGCACTTCGTGGTCCACGCCGTGGGGACGCACGCAGGAGGTTCCCTGTGGTCGCGAGTGCTGCCTCTGGTGCGCGGCATTCCCTGGAGGAGGAGGAGAAGGAGGAGGAGGAGGAGGACCTAGGGTCTGTTCGTCTTCCTCAGGAGGAGAAGGAGAACGAGGATGATAATGTCTGTTTACTGAGTGAGGAAGGTGGAGGAGGATGGGGAGGAGGAGGAGGCGGAGGAACACGAGCATCCCCACCCACCTCCACCCATCGCATCAATTTATGCGCTCCCGAAAGTTCTCTGGTGCAGGTCGTGCGGGGGGAGTGGGTCTCCATGTTTCCAGCAGTTAATGAAACCTTGTCTTGATCTCTCTGGTACACATGCCAGGGGAGAGCTGCACACGCCGTCGAGAAGGGCAAGTTACCTCCAGGATACTCGGAGTGGCCTTGGCCAGACGGTCTGGAGCCAGGACTGCGGCAATTCTAGAATCTGGTCTAGGCCAAGGCGCCCCCTGTAAGAGGAACCTGCTGCGAAATTGAGCACGATGCAAGAACATCTAGGCTACATTGCCGTCCCCCTCGGACCTCCGACTGGACTGGGGGGAGAGGAGTGCGTTGGGAAGAACAAGGGCGAGGCGGGGTGTCTTACCGACCCTCCCTGTCGCGCTCCCCCAGGCCTCGCCGATCCGGTCGTGATCGACCTGCCAAATGTCAGCGACGGCTTTGCGTGCGACGACCATATGCTTTAATCTGAGCGATGTCAGCAGACTTCGGCCTCTGGGGGCCCTTTCTCGGGCCCTGGGGCCACCAGAAGCGCACCCGCGATGCAGAATCACCACCGAGGAGCAGGTCGGGCACTCTGGGGACGCGGATTGAAACATCAAACTGTCGGATGCCTGGGTTCGGGGGCCGCGGGGGGGATGGTGGGTAAGGGAGCCAACTAGGTGCGCCTGCCGATGCTGGAAGACCCCTTGTGGTGATTAGGACGACAACGAGCCCGGGCCCTGGAATTGCGCACACGCCCTCCGGGCTGGGCTCGGACAAAGTTTGCGCCTATCCTGTGCCCATGGATTGGCCTGGCCAAGCACTGCGGGAGGTTCTGTATAGATCCCGCCTCCCAAAGGGGGCCCGCACCAGCGGAGGTCACTCCGGCAAAGGGTCGCTCTTGCGCGCAGCCAAGCTGTCCCGAGCGTGCCCGCTGAGGGCGTAGAGATCTCCTGGGCGAACCAGGAACCGGACGCCCCCCACGCGCACCTCGGATCAGGGCGAGCTGAGACAACCCCAGCTCAGAATCGGACGCCAGACCCCTCCTGGGGTCCACACGCACCAGTCCTCCGAGCTGCGCCCAGCCGCAGCGACGAGGGGGCCTCCGAGCCGCCGCTGTCTCAGCCCGCCCTCCTCTGAGCACCTCCGAGCAGCCGAAGATCACGCAGGTGGCGATGCCGCGGCCGCCAGCCTCGGGCTCGTCGACGTGCGGGGTGACGGGGGCACCTCGGCGCACCCTCCTCCTCCTCCTCCTCCTCCTCCTCCTCCTCCTCCTCCTCCTCCTCCTCCTCCTCCTCCCTCTCCTCCTCCTCCCCTCCCCCCTCCTCCTCCTCCCCTCTCCTCCCCTCCCTCCTCCTCCTCCCCTCCTCCTCCTCCTCCCTCCCCTCTCCCTCCTCCTCCTCCCCCCCTCTCCTCCTCCTCCTCCTCCCCCCTCCTCCTCCCTCCTCTCCTCCTCCTCCTCCTCCTCCTCCTCCTCCTCCTCCTCCTCCTCCTCCTCCTCCATGCATGGCCACGGCCTTCCTGGGCCCTGACCTGCCTGCGTGCGCCCTCCCAGTCGATGCAAGGAAGGCCCATGCAACAGCGTGGGGCTCAGGACGGCCCCGGCCAGACTGGGTGATGGTGCACGAGGTGCCTTCGGCGGAGAGGGGAGGCCGGGGAGGGGCTGATGGGGGGCAAATGTCGGGGATGGACAGACCCCCCTTTAGCAAAACGTGGTTTAGTGAAAACGACCTGAGGCCCAAACCGGGCGGGCGCAAGCCTGGAAAAAAGCGGCCACGTCGCCCTCTTGAGAACCGAAAGCGAACAATCCCAGCAGCCCTCTGGGCGTCGGTGGTTTAGAGCGTTTCCTCTTCCACCCCTCCTTCTTCCCCTTCGGGGAGGGGTTTACCCCTCCCCCTACCCCCTCCCCACTGACCTGGACAGGGGGGGCCGCGGGTAGTTAGAGCGTCCAAGAACGACCCCTGGGAGGGCTAAAATTCGACACCCCTCACGAGGATCGTGGCTCCTGAGGGGGGGACTGTAATTAGGGAACCCCCCTTCGTTGATCGATCTCCTCCAAGATGGCTCCGAGGCCCCCCAAGAGGCCCCCAGGAGGCCCCCAAGAGACCCCCAAGAGGCCCCAAGAGACCCCCCAGAGGCACCCAAGAAGCGCCCAGGAGGCCCCAAGAAGCGCCCAGGAGGCCCCCAAAGGCCCCAAGATGGCCCCAAGAGGCCCCAAGAGGCCCCCAGGAGGCCCCAAAGAGGATCCCGAACGGCCCACAGAGGCCCCCCCGAGGCACCCAAGACGCCGAAACGCCCCTCAGGACGACCCTCTACTCGCCTGGGCGTCGTTTCTGGACGGGCTGGTGGGGATACGCGAAGCGTCTAGAATTCACTAATCGACGTGTTACTGTTGGGGGTTCTGTCCACCCCCGACAAATGGGGGCTGGAACCAAGGTGGGAAACACCCCCCTGGTCGTGTGAAGCGGCCCCACCTCCGCCGTCTTCAACGTCGAAGCCCAGAGGGACTCGTGGCAGACACGGGCGTCCTCCATAGAACGCGCACTGGATTCGCTGTGTGTGTGTGTGCTTGAAATCAGCGCTGTCCACGCCTCCCTCAACCTTGCAAGACCCAGCAAGACAGCCTGTGATCCACTGGCGAGCGCTTGCAGTGCAATCTGAGTTCTCGAAACGTATCTGGTCACTGTCCGCCACCGTGGTGTAAGCACTGAGCTTAGCTGCCCCGATACGCAACACGCAACACGTGGCGTATTGATACAGAGCCCAACACGTGGACTGAAAACGTAGGTCCGACGCGATATGTTCTTAAATTGTGGGCCAATACGTGGAACCAACACGCAACGTATTGACACGGACGTCTTAAACACGGGACGTGTTGCGTTTCAAAACGGGCGCACCGAGGCAACCAAGGCACTGAGTGGATCCGGGCGCTCTCGCGCGCTCCTGGGACCCCCCGCGTGACTTCCCAGAGGCCTCGAGAGCGCGGCGGCGGGCCTCGACCTCCAACATGATGCAATAGAAGGCAAAACATCCACCCCCATAATAACCTCCCCGACAAGCGAGGCCGTTCAGTAAACGCACCCATGGGAGGAATCGAACAGGGCAGGACTTTCAGTAAACGCCTAGGGCCATTTAGCAAACGCCGCTTCTCTGGTCCGGGTGGTTTCTCCTCCCTTAATCCACGGCAGCCCCATGGGATCGTCCAGTGGCGATTGTGACGGCCTGCTGGGCCGTCTTGGGGGCCTGGGATGCCGGCCCAAGAGGCCAACATCATTGAACCTTGTTGGTCTGCGGCCAGTTGGGCCCAACGAGCGGTCAAACAACCGGCGGGACGCATCCGTTGCGAATGGGAGGTGCAGGGGCGCATGCGGGCGAGGGGCGGAAGGGAGGGGGGTCGCGGAACGGCTGGAGAATCCTCAGATCACGTAGACAAACAACATCATTGAAGTATCAGAACATGAATTCGCATGATTTCCTTATGCTCTGCCTCTCCGTCGCAAGCGCGCCCCGAACCCTCGGCGGCGCCAAGACTCCCAAGACCCCCGAGAGGATCCTGTGAGGTCCCCAAAACACGGCACCAAAGGTCTGGAACGTCTTCCTGGGGATCATTTCTTCGTCTGAAGTCGGGCCTGTCCTCCTACAGAAGGATTTTGGAAGACAAATCCGCCGATCCGGCGTGTGAGTTCAAGAAAGCTACAACCTGAGTTTCAGCTTTGCTGGGGGGAGCCGGGGGAGCTCTGCCGGGGTAGGGGGGGGGTTCATGGGGTCCACCCTTTCTCCCCCCCCCCCCCCCCCGGGAATCCCAAACCGCCCAAAGGCGGGCCAAAAGGGGCCCAGGAGGCCACCAAGACGGTCCAGGAGGCGCCCGAAACGGCCCCAGAGCGCTCCCGGACGCCCAAGATGGCCTGAAGACGGCCCAAGAGGCCTCCAAGACGCCTCAAGGAGATCCCAAGAGGACCCCCAAGAGGGCCCCAAAAGGGTACAATAATAAAATTGCTAATAAGTCTTGAAACATGTTAACATTATCGCCTTTTCCGTCTTAGAAGCGCCGAAGACGGTCCAAGAGGCCCCCAAGATCGCCCCAAGACAGCCCAAGAGGCTCCCAAGAGGAGCCAAGACGGTCCAAGAGGGCCCCAATATAGCCCTGGAGGCCCCCCAAAACGACCCTGAGGGGCCCCAAGATGGCCTCAAGAGGGTGAATCCGAAAGGACCCTTCTAGTCCTCCACCCCAAGATGACCCCAAGAGCCCCCAAGATGCCCCAGAGGCGCCCCCAAGGGGCCCCCAGAGGCCCCCAAGAGGTCCCCAAGAGGTCCCCAAGAGGACCCCGAGAGGCCCCCAAGAGGCCCCCGAGAGGCCCCCAAGAAGCCCCAAGAACCAAGAGGTCCCAAGAGGCGCTCACTCGCGTGCTGCCAGGCCAGAGGTGCACGGCCTGACTTGGTATTGCTCGGAAGCGAAAGCGATGAACGAAGAACCTTCCACCTGTCGCCGTCACCAGGTGTCAGTCGTCGGGCGTCGGCAGCCATTCGCCGTCAGTCATCGTCGTCGTCGTCGTCGTCGTCGTCGTCGTCGTCGTAGTCGTAAAAGTCGCCGTCGTCGCCGTCGTCGTCGCCGTCGTCGTCGTCGTCGTCGTCGTCGTCGTCGTCGGTTCGTCGTCATTAACTCCTTCGTCGGTCGTCGTCGTAATTATCCCGCTCGTCGAGCGTTGGTCGTCCGTTGTCGTCGTCATCGTCCATTTCAACAACAATAGCATCAGGAGCGCCCCAGATCGGCGGCACTGGCCGGAGGCCACTACAATAAAAATAATCAATACATACTCTAAAATGGCAAACAAATAATTTAAAACATGGTCACCCGACTATTCTTTGACAATTTTTGAATATTCCCCCTGTAGAGGGACATGCC